AGGCCTGGGGAACAGCCACGATGGTAATGCTCTTTTAAAGGCAAGTAAGGTGGGGGCCATACAAATCTCTGGGGAAACACTGTTCCATAGGGTGGGTTAATGGCAGAGAAGAACCTCTTCCTGAGTATTGCTAGATGGCACTGCTTAATTGACAGGACCCAGAGCAAGCTAGCTGTCAGATCTTACAGGACTGGCAGAAGCCAAAGGATTCAGATGGTCCCTCAAATTACTAGGCTCCGTCCCATGTAGAACTTCCATGTGGTCTTCAAAGGCAGCTCCATGTACAACGCATTGCAATAATCCATCCACAAGGTGATGGAGGCTTGAGCGATCATAAAGGCCTCCCGGTCCGAGCAGGGGCACAACTGGTGCCCAAGATGAATCTATGCTAAGGCCCTCCTGGCCACAGCTGCTACCAGTCCTTGTAAATGAATCCAAGACACCCAGGTTGCATATCAAACCCAAATGGGGTAGTGCAACCCTGTTTACAGTCAAAGACAGGAAATCCCCATCGCCAAAGGGACCAAACACTCACAATCACTCACTCTTGCTAGGGTTCTTGCTCCCCATCCAATCTCGCACAGCCTTGCTTGGCTAGCCAAGGTTGAAATACACAACTGAGTACCGTCTGTATACTTCCTCCAAGATTCTATTGAGGAAACAATTCTCAAGGTACAGTGTCTCATGAAAGTCAGCCCTTACTCACAAAAAGCTGTGGAGTGGCAGCTGTCTCACTAATTTTGAATCATCTGAACTAAGAGTGATTCAAATGCAGCCAAGTCAGTCCTACAGCCAAGAAACTGGATGTGAAACTGTTCCTTCTAACACAGGTGGCTTACACACTCACACCTGCCTTAGTTAAAAAAAAAAAAACCAATAAGCAAGCCTATTTCTGTCCTAAGCTATCTCGGAAACCTGGCAGACAGTGAACATAAACAAATAAGATAATTTAACAGGCACATGCCCTCAGTCTTACAAACAGGAAAAGGGCCATTTGGCTGATCAGAGCGCCACCCGGCTAGAGGACCTTCCCCCTTTCCACAGAGGGAAGTCAAATACCCCTGCGGTCAGACACCCAGGTTTCTGGTACACCAAAGGGGGCCTTCCCCTGCAATTCATCCAGCTGCTTGGCTCCAGCTACCTTGATATTTAGAAAACCTGCAAAGAAGCACCTCTGTCATTGTGGTTTTAACTATTATCTAACTTTTAGTACCTGTTCTAGTACAAAAATAATTTTATGGACATTGGCCTTGTTTTTTAAATTGTGGTAGGGTTCTCAAGTACTTGTCATAGTAGAAAGGTAGGATATTGCACAACAAACCAAAGCATTTAGTTTAAGTTTTTATACCTTGGCACCTATAGCCTCTTTCGTGTAATTGTTTTAATTAATGGCAATATATTTATCTTTAGTTGTACTTATATAACATTCAACACACCATAACACCATTTGGAAACTCAGTAAATGGTTTCCCTAGAACAGATCATTTAAAAACAAAATATTCAGGAACAGCCTGGTCCTGGATTTATTTTACTCAATAAAGTATCACTTCTGAATAAAATATCTGCCAAAGGACTTTTAAATTATCCTTTTTCCTTCCATTTTTATTTCAAGCTCTCCTAATTTCTCAACAAAAAATTCTTATTTATACACAACTGCAAAATGCCCAGAATTAAACAATACAAAGTATGACCAAGGCTTATATATAGCATCAGAAACATTGTTCTGATATTTTTGCCCCAATTACTTAAAATTCAGCTTGCAAAGAGTTTTCTGGTGATAATAAAGAAGTTTTCTGCCACTGCTTTCTTCTGCCATGTTTTTGCAACTTCCCCGTCTAGCCTAGAAAACACTGGGATTTCCTAATGTCACCCATCTATGTATTAACCAGGTCAACTCCTGCTTAGTTTTTTGAGGTCATCCAAGATTGGTTAGGGCCATTTATTATTACTAGAAATTAAAATAACATTTAATGGGTACAGACTGATTTAGCACTAGAGCGTCATTTGTCAGGTCAACATAATTTCCTCTCAATACTAAGATTTTAATACATACTTCTAAAAGTTTAGTTCTGTAGAAGAAGCAAGTTACTTTTATGAAAGATTGGAAACCCTTTATGGACTTTTTTTGCTGAAAATTGATAAAAATGAACTGGTGATCTCTGGACTTACTGATTAAAAAGTGCTGTATATACCAAGAAGGGAACTATGTTATTAATTTGGGAGGGCAGAAATAGTATTAACAATGTTTGTAATTGCTGCAACAAAGTCTCTTCTTTAAACATTTTTTTCTTTTTTCTGGATGTATACTATACCTTTTCTTCTATCTTCTATCTTTCACTTTTCTATATTCCTTTTTATTTTTCTGTAGCTTTTAGCTTTGTAAAAATTTTCTTCAATAAAAATATATTAAAAAAATAAAAGTTTAGTTCTGTGAAATAGCACTGTACTAAACCTTTTCTAGACTCTGCTCCCACAGTGGACATCCCACTGGTAAGTATTATCCTCTAAAGGGGAATGATGCCCATTTATCCTGGTCAGTTGTTTGAGTAAATTGGAGACCTAATTTAAAAACCTTTGTTTATGAATCCTATTGTAGATCTGTAGTCCATATTTCCCAATATTTATAAATTGCTGTAACACAAGAAATAAGTTTAATCCTACTGTTAACTACTAGATTAAATAGCAAAAATATATTTTTAAAAAAGCTATCTTGCTATGGATACATTATATTTAAAGGTGTGGGAAATAGCACTGACTGAAAAATTAATGAAGAAACAAAGAGTTCTGAAAAACTGTCCAATTAATGGCACTGTCCAAACAAATGTAACCTGCCTTTTTGAGGCGTATCAAAAAGCATTTGTTAACAACTTACCACTGATATAGTAATTGAATATAGATGTTTAAAATATTTTTTCTCTCCTTAAATTACACGTGTCAGAACCTGCATCAATCAAATGTTATTTTTAAAAGTTGTAGCAGTCAATGGGTATTTGCTTGATTTGATTCTGCTATTTGTATCTGGGGGGGGAGAATGGTAGTTTATAGTTGTGTTTGGGTTATTGCTATAACTGGTGGTAGTCTGAAGGCTGAGAACTGTTATCAATGGGAGGAATGCACAAGGCCACCGGTCCGTGAGAAAGGATTTTGGCGCCAATGTAGTAAAGGGGGGGAATAAGTAGAGGAAACTTTACATAGGCTTTAGTTTTAGTAATGCTTTGCTTCAAGGTGCATGTACCAACCAATAAAGGAGCATTTATCTGAACCAGAAAGGATTTTGGCGCCAATGTAGTAAAGGGGGGGAATAAGTAGAGGAAACTTTACATAGGCTTTAGTTTTAGTAATGCTTTGCTTCAAGGTGCATGTACCAACCAATAAAGGAGCATTTATCTGAACCAGGCCTGGTTTCACGAGAATTCTTCTGAATTGGAGTTTGGATTTTGTGGACTTGAAAACATGGATCATTGCTCCCAAATGTATGTGCTGTTTTGGGCTTTTTCCCTTTCCTCCTCTTATCGTATCATTTTCTAATTATTGATGCATGTTTGTCCCACTAAGTAAAGGGGAAAATCAGGTTTTTCATTTATGCCCAAAGGAAATCCCACTAATGCTTGAGGCCTTCTGATTTTTCTTATCTGTCATATTTCAAAGCAGCCTCTGCGAACCACAAACAGACCTAATGTAGTTGCGGAAGTTCTAACCAGGCTAAGAAAACAAAGCTGGTAACACATCTTCTTCTTCTTCTTCTTCTTCTTCTTCTTCATCATCATCATCATCATCTATTGGATTTCTCCCCCGCCCATCTCCCCCACAATAGGGGACTCTGGGCGGCTTACAAAGACATCAAAACTATAAATATATGTAAAATACATAAT